CCTCTGCCTGTACTGGCTGGTGCAGCAGAGAATGAGATGCATGGCCAGAGGTGGGAGGAAAACGAGGAGAATGTGCAAACCAAGAGAAAGGGAACATTTCCAAGGATGGGGTGGTCAGCAGAGGACAGGGTGCCCCGAAAAGGCAATTAAGATACAGACCTCCAAATATCCAGCAGCGATTGATGAGAAATCATCAGTGAGTTTAGGCGAAAAAACTCAGTTTTCCGATGTGTGTGGGGGGTGGGGTTGGGGAGCAAACAGGAGAAGCAGGTGGATACAGTGAGTGCGGACGACGTCTGAGAAGTCTGGCTGCAGAGGGGAGGAGGAGGAGGAGGAGGAGGATGGCAGCAGCTGCAGAGATGTGGGTTGAGGGGGCTTTTCAGAGAGAGGCTCTTCAGCATGTTCCGTGGTCAGGTGATGCAGCAGGTACATGGGCGCTGCTCAGATGCCCTCCCCAGGACTGAGCATGGGTTTCCCAAAGGGCAGGGAGGGGCAGCGGCCAATAGCACTCATCCTCGCCTCTCTCCAGGATGTGCCCTGGGCTGAAGACAGCCCTCTGCTCAAATCCATGCCCTCCCTTCTCCTACATGACAGGGCAGCCCCCATCCAGTGGCCTGGCCCCCTGGCCATAATGGGGCACAAGGCTGTGGCTGTCCCAGCTCCAGAGCTACCCGTGGGGTGCCTGAGGCCGTGGATGGGCCTGGGCCCCAGCTCTGCTCCTCCCTCGGACGTTCCTACTGCCTCCACCCTGCAGGCACTGGTCCCGCGGGCACACCCAGCAAGCCCCTGCCAGCGTCTCTGTTTCCTGGGACATTCAACCTGAGACAGCAGATGAATAGTAAGAAGAGGGGCCAGTGATAGTGGATATTTCCTGAAAAAACAGAGATGAACCGTGCCCTGGAGAAGCGTCTGCCCTGAGGTACCGAGAAAAGGAGGCCAGGGAGGCCGTGGTGGGGGCGGGCTGAGCCTCGAGGTGGGATGTTAAGTGTGTCCGCCGTTCTGTGAGGTGGAGGCGGGTCACCTGTTAAGAGAGAGGAAAGGTCGGGAGGGCCAGGGGATGGAGGGAATGAAGAGCTGAAACGGTTGTTGCAGAAGGAAGCGGAGAGGCGAGCGGAGGCAGAAACCCTCAGACACGGCTGGTGGGAGACTGTGCAGCTGCAGAAAACAATTCGACGGTTCCTCAAAAGGTGAAAGCTGGGGTTACCTTTTAATCCAGCACACTCCTGGGAATCCCACAGGAGAATTAAAACATGAGTCATAGACTGAGGGTTTGTGCCTCCCACCCCGTGACTATGTTGAAGCCCTAACCCTCCATGTGATGGTATCGAGGTGGGGCTCTGGGAGGCGATTCGGTTCAGATGAGGCCATAAAGGTGAGATCGGCATCCTTGTAATAAATGGAGGTGACTGGAGCTCGATCTGTCTGTGCCACATGAGAACACAGTGAGAAGGCGGCTGTCTGCAAGCCCGGCAGAGAGCCCTCGTCAGAACCCGACCCTACTGGCAGCTTGCTCGAAATTCCAGCCTCCAGAACTGTGAGAAATCCATCTCTGCTGTTTTAGCCACCCAGTCTAGGGTAATTTGTTACGGTAGCAATGGCTGACTGAGATGCTGCGTCCACAGAAAAACCTGAGTGTTCATGGCAGCATTATTCATATTAGCCAAAAAGTGGAAACAACTCAAATGTCCATCAGCTGACACGTGGATAAACAAAATGTGACATATCCATAAATGGAATGTTATTTGACAATAAAAAAGAATGAGGGCTTGGTGTGGTGGCTCACGCCTCCAATCACAGCACGTTGAGAGGCGGAGGTGGGAGGAGTTCAGGGCCAGGCTGGATAACATGGTAAGACCTTGTCTCTACAAACAGTACAAAAGTTAGCCAGGTGTGGTGGTGCACGCTTGTAGTCCCAGCCACTTGGGAGGCTGAGATGGAAAGATTGCTTGAGCCGGGGAGGTAGAGGTTGCAGTGAACCGAGATTGCGCCACTACACTCCAGCCTGGGTGACAGAGTGAGACTCTGTCTCAAAAATAAATAAAATAAAATAATAAATAATAAATAAAATAATAAGAAAAAGTAATGATGCAGGCTACACCCTGGATGAAACTTGGGAACTTGTGCCAGCCCACAGCCCAGTGGGGACACCTGGCCACGGAGGCACAAGTGTTTCCAGTGAGCTAAGTGTGATGAGAGAGATACACTGGGAGAACTGAGGAGGGTGTGGGAGGCAGGTGTGAGCTGAGGCTTGGAGGAGGAGGAGGAACTGGCCAGGGGAAAGGGAAGGAGGCAGGGGAACTGTTGGCCCAGAGCTATTAAAGCAAGCAGCAGCCTGGAGTGTACCGGGGCAGCAGGCACAGGCACAGCTGGTGTACAGAAGGGGGAGAGGTGACTGCTGGGTGGAGGACTGAATGGGGAGGGGAGACGCCCATTCAGAGGCCACTGTGATCATCCAGATAAGGGAGACCAAGGGGAGATGGGACATATCTAGGAGTAGAAGATTGGGACTCTGGGGACTGGAGGTGCCATGCTCAGAGACAGGGAGCAGGGCTGCTTTGAGCTTTGTTGCAGATGGGTTGCATGTCCAGTATCTGGCAGTTATCCACATGGAAGTGTGCCTTAAGCAGGTAAATTTTGCACGTGGGACTCGGGAGAGAGCACTTCACGCTGGTGCCAGGGATTTGGGGGACACGGGTGCAGGCTTGGTAGCTGTCTGCAGGGTGGAATGGTTGAGGGATGGTGGAAGGGGAGAGCACAATCTGGGGGTAGGGCATCACCATTTACAGGGCAAGCAGAGCACACAGGGAGCTGAGGAAGGGAGGAGTGGGGTGGTGGAGACTCACGTAAGCCAGGCACAGTGGCTCATACTGTAATCCCAGTGCTTTGGGAGGCTGAGGCAGGAGAATCACTAGAGGCCAGGAGTTTGAGACCAGCCTGGGTAACATAGTGAGATCTCATCTCTACAAAGTCAAAAATTAGTCAGCATGGTGGTGTGTGCCGACAGTCCCAGCTGCTCGGGAGGCTGAGGCAAGAGGATGGCTTGAGCCTGGGAGGCCGAGGCCACAGTGAGCTATAATCGCACCACTGCACTCCAGCCTGGGCAGCAGAGTGAGACCTTGTCTCAAAAAAATAAAAAAAGAAAAGAAAAGGGTGGGGCGTGGTGGCTCACGCCTATAATCCCAGCACTTTGGGAGGCCGAGGCGGGTGGATCACTTGTCTGACCAACATGGTGAAACCCCGTCTCTACTAAAAATACAAAAAATTAGCTGGATGTGGTGGCAGGCACTTGTAATCCCAGCTACTCAAGAGGCTGAGGCAGGAGAATTGCTTGAACCCAGGAGGTGGAGGTTGCAGTGAGCCCATATTGCACCACTGCACTCCAGCCTGGGCGACAAGAGAAAAACTCCGCCTCAAAAAAAGAACCAAAAACAAACAAAACCCCCAAAAAACCAACCAACCAACCAACCAACCAAACAACAAAAAAAAGAAAATGAAAACCCCATGTTGCTGCAGGCAAAGGAACAGTGCGTCTCAAGGAGGACGGCAGGCAGTCCACGCGTTCATTCGCACAGGATTGGGCAACCAAGTGGGCACCATGGCCTTTCTGAGAGTAGTCAGGGGCAGACCTGTAGGCTGCAGGAGGACTCAAGGGCGTCTGCTGAGAGGTGGTGGCTTGGGGAGATTTCCCCGAGGCAGCTGTGCTGCTGTCTCTCCTTTTCATTTTTCTCCCCCGGCCAGACGGAGCTTCAGGAGGGAAGACATTTCTACATATCCTTGTATTTCTGAACACAATCCAATTCGTTCCCAGCCTATTTGATGTGCACCCACAGTGCTTACCATTCGTGTGCTCAGGGCTGGGGCTGCGTGACTGAGCCTTGGGCTTCTGGTGGGGGACACGGTAAGTCCCCAGACTGTGCAAATGAAGCTCTAGGCCAGGCTCTGCCACCAGCCAGCCATGTGACTGCAGGTGACTTACGTTCTCTCTAGAGGTCTCCTCATTGGTGGTGGGTAATTTCTGACACTCCTCCTTGAGGAAAAAATGTGGTAATTCTAGGAACTCTCTGCCTACTGCTATATTATTTGCCCTCTGAGGACTTGGCAGGGTCAGAAGCCTGGGGTGGTGAAGGAGGTGGGGAGCTCCCTGAGTTTCGGCTCCTTGTCCTGGGGCCCCAATGTCTTTGGCACAGGCCCCCTACTCAGGTGATCCCTAAGGCCCCACAGGCTCTGTCCCTTACAGCTCTCCAGCCTCACCTCACACCCATACCCCTTGGCTTTCTGGGCCACGGTCACAATGCTCTTCTCTCAGATTTTGCTCTCCCCACAAGCGTTCCTGCCCCATAGCCTTGGCACGTGCCACTGCCACCAACTAGCACCCTTTCCTTACCCCCTCGCCTGGTCGACTACTCTTCATTCTTTACTGCTTCTCTCAAATGTGGCTTCTGCGAGGCGTCTCGGATCCCTGGGCAACACTCACACCCCGTGACACACCGTCTGAGCATCTACGCTTCTTCCAGCTCTTGTACAAATGTGGTAACCAAGTAATTAGCTGGTGTCCGTCTGTCTAGTTTCACCTTGGACTCAAATGAGAGTGGTCCCTGCCATGGGTCCTCTGCTGGAGAAGGCTCCAGTCCAGACCTGTGTCTGTGGCTCTCCTCACAGGAGGAGGAATCTGGGGGGCTCTCTTGAAGCCTGGATCCTCCCTTTAGACCATGCTTCTGACACTTGGGGCCCAGCATGCCTTGCCCAAAAAGCTCCAGGCACACTCCCTCAAGGGTGGACGACATCACCAGTGGGGTCGCCAAGCAGCAGCTGGCTGCAGGGGGTACGGGCAGTTTGCACACATGGACTACAGTGTCCATGTATGTGCCTGAGAGCCTCTGCTTGGGGGAGGAGGGCTCTGCGGTGCCACCACATTCCACATTTGGGCATGGAACTTGGAAAAATCAAAGAAGTTTAAATTAGAACCTGGCCTGCCAGGTCATTATCAAAGCACATTTGTTAAAGTAGGAGAATAGAACATATTTTATTTAACAGTTGTTAGCTTGATTGATAACTTTTAAATATTTAGACATATGGTATGAGGCCTCCGTGTGTGTACTCTTGCCCTGGCCCTGCTGGCAATGGGGTGGGCTTGGGTCAGCCTCACCCATCAGACCATAAGCTCCACCAGGGCGGGCGGCCCTCGACGTGCCCCTGCCCAGAGCACAGTGCCTGGCACAGAAGAGCAGACAATAAATACCGGCTGTGAGAAACAAATGGGATAATCCAGGCAAAATGCTTGGCACGATGCAAATTCCAATAAATATCAGCTGTCATTGTCTGCTGCATAAATGAACAGGTGGGTGGGTGGGGCTGGGGGCCAAGAGCCGCAAGCTGAGGTGGCTTGTGTCTGAGGAGGTGGCTTGTGTCTGAGGGGGCTGCTGCCCCCTGGGGTTCACGCTTCCTTTTTTGAGGTTGTATCCACCTTCCCCACACCCTGCAGGCCTGCCCAGCTCTTCATGGCAAAGTGGGCCCCACATGGGCATACCTGACTGTCAGAGTGCCAAGAGGGGCTAGCTCCTGCTGGGGCTCTGTCCCCTTCCCCCAGGACAAGACAGCTGTGGCAGGCTCCTTTTTTGCCTTCAGGGGCCTCCTCGGGTCCAGAGGGAACACACCCAGTTTAGTTCTGGCATAGGCCCAAAGGTCAGAGGGGTGGTATCTGAAAGGACTGATTTCCCCTTATCCAGGCTGCACTCTGGTGTGGGAGGAGCCTTTTCTGGGGAGTGAGATCACTCACTGGGCCTTGAGCAAGCCACAGTGTCGCTCCAGGCCTCAGTGTCCCCGTCTGTAAAACGGGATTGTGTGTGGAACTGGCCATGTCGAGCAGGACGCCAGGTGTGCATGTGGTGAACAGGATGAAGCCTTGTGCAGAACTCCAGTGGGTCAGGGGCAGCAGAGGCCCAGGACCCCCAACAGGAAAGCAGATGAAACTGGCCCACAGCCAGCCTGCCAGAGGCCCAGGCAGGAGGTCATCCCTGAGGCCTAAGAAGGGCAGGTTCAGCCGCCCGCTGGAGGCTAGGTCAGTCCTGATTCTACAGTGGGGCAGTGGTCACAGCTGCCCCATAACTGGCACAGTGCCCGCACAGGGCCAGGACCCACAGGGTCTCTGCGAAGGCCTCCATGAGGTGCCCACCAGAAGCAGCCAGGAAGCCCCCCACCAAGCTCCTCCTCCCAGCACCCACCATTCCAGAACAAACTCTCACCCCCACACACGCTATCGCACACGCACAGTAGGCGCGATGCCACAGAAAAAAAAACCTAATTAATCCCAAAACAGGACGTGCGGAGCGGGGTCGGGGGTGGGGTGTAAATCACATTTTGCGAAGTGCCCACTAGGGGTCACCGTACCCTCAGAATCGAGGGTACAGAAGTCACATCGGCCTGCGGCAGTGCGCTGGGGGAGGGTCCCAGAGAGAAGGAGGCCCGGCTCGCGGCCTCCGCCGCCCAGCTGGTGTGGCAGGACTGCGGCCGCCGCCCCAGTCCCAGGCCCGCCGTCAGTGCGGCGGGAAGATGTCGGAGCACTGCTGCAGGATGAGCTCCACCACCTGGTTCTGGAAGACCATGGTCATGGGCATGCTGGTCTCTTCCACCTCGGGCCGCAGCAGCGTGGGCCCGAACACAATGGCCACGCTCTGAACCGACATGCGGTTCTGCTCGCCGTGCTCGATCACCCTGCGGCGAGGGTGGGTGGGATCAGGGCTTGGAACTGCTGGGACACGCAGGGGTTGAGGGGGTGCTCCAGCCTGGACCTGCCTCCCCCTTCCCGCGCAGCCCGCCCGGCTCACCGGCAGAGGTGCTGGAAGAGAAGCCGCAATGTGTCGTGGTTGGGGGCGGGCAGCGAGCGCACCAGGTCGCGTACACAGCGGCTGCGCTGGGCCTGGTCCTGCAACTCTGGTTGAGCGAAGGGTCGGAGGGAGGGAGTCGGACAGGGAGATAGGGGGTGTCGGCCAGGCAAGGGGAGCCTGCCAAAAGGGTGGCCTGCCGCGCGCCTACCCCACCCGCCCCACCTGCCCCAGGTGCTCACTGATGGCGGCAATGAACTGGCGGAAGTGCGAGAAGGGGAAGAGGGGCTCGGGCAGCTCCCGAAAGAAGAGCTTCAGGGCACCGGTGATAACGTGGACGTCCTCCCAGCGCCCATCGTCCAAGTCGAGGCGCTCATCTGTGGCGGAGGAAGGGAAAGGGGCCGAAGGAAGTCAGTACCCCTCGAGCCTTAAGGCACTGGGGCAGGGGAATGGGGACGGGCCTCACCGTGGTCCACTTTATAGCGCAGCTTCTGGATGGTGGCCAGGTTTCCACTAATGCGGTACAGCCCGTCGATGTCCAGACCTGGGGCAGAGGGAGGCACTGACCCCAGGTTCGAGGGGTAGGGTGGGGATACGGGCCACTACTATGAATCCCACTCGGGGCTCCCGTTCTTTTCCCCAGACCCGGTGTCCATCCAGGGGTCTCCAGCTTGCGGTCCTGGCACCCCCAATGCCTGCCTCCCTCACCCCCGCAGCGCACGTACCGCGGGCCTCGACGGCGCGGATGCATTGCTGCACGAAGCGCGGCACTCGGCTCCTCTCACGCTCACACAGCGCGGCCAGCGCGCAGCCGAACACCTGGTCTAGGGCAGAGGCTCGTCAGCGCCCGCCCGGCCTGCGCCACCCCGTCCCCAGTCCCCGTTCCCCGCAGGCCTCGGGTACCTTTGATGTAGCCCTTCTCCCGCAGCGACTGCAGTGTGGGCCGCCTCTGGAGGAACTTGCGGAGCTTGTGCCGGACCTTGCTCAAGTCGCTCTCCAGAACCCCGGGGCCCAGGGCGGGCGCAGCTGCGGCGGAGGAGAACAGGGCTGAGTCAGGAGGCGGCGCCGGGGTAGGCTGGGCAGGTCCCAGCAGTGGTCACCCCCGGGAGAGGCCTCCTGGGAGGCTCCAGCCCATCCCGCCTTGCGCACACCTGCACTCGGCCGCGCGTCTTCCTCTTTCTCCTGCCAGCTTCCCAGGCGCTCACTCGACCCGAAGTCCACGCTGCTGCTCTCGCTCTCCTCCTCAGGAGGCAGCTCTGCGGACTGGATTTCCGCAGCCTCAGAGAGGCGGGGCCTTGAGCCAGCTGCGGGTCCTTCCAGGATGGGGCAAGGGACGAGAAATGCCCTCCCAAAAGGCGTAGCCTGGAGACCCTCAGCGAAGAGTCCTCTCCCCCTAACCCGGTTAACTCCCCTCACCTCCACCAGTGAGCCTGAGAACATTCACTTCCTTTAGCTGCATGGAGCCCTTAAGGTGCAGAGACCTCATTTTCCTCAGCTCCTCTAACTAGGTCAGCATTCCTCAATATGTGGCTCCCAGTTCTGACCCAGTACCTCCAGCTGTGGCCGGACCACTGCCCACAACTGCACCAACGTCACCTCTCTGGCTCTGGAGTCCTACCTCTATTAATACAGCCAAAACTGCACTCGGTGTTGGCTCATAGGGGATTAAGGGTCAAAAAGCCCCAGGTCATTTCCAGGTCAATAGTTGTGAGAGGGGCCCTGTCCTATCCTGTACTTATGCAATTGGTATTTTGAACCTTAAAAAAAATGGTTGACTATTGAAATCAATCCTTTAAAATTTTATCTGTTAGCTTCAGTCTGCCATCGGTTGGCTTGCGGAGTGTATATTTGGCCTCCTGCCTCCTGTGAAATGGGAAATTCCTCTAGTGTGCCCCTGCCCTCACCTGGAGAGTCTTCCTGTAGGGCCAACCCCAGGGCTGGATTCACAGACTTAGGAAGGCAGTTTCCTCAGCGGCCTACCCTGCCATCCCAGCCTAAGTGGGGGACTGCATTTGCACAGTGGCCACCCTCTCCCCATCGCCCCTAGCAGCCCCAGGCTCTGCTTACCAGCTCCTGGATGCCCTGGGCAATGGCCTTGTGCCAGGTGCTGATGATGGCCTCCGAGTCATGCTGGATCAGGTACTCTGAGCCATCTCGGCTCCGCAGCTGGAGGGACACATGTCACTGGGTCATCTCTGGTACCCTGGGTCTGCCCTGGAGGTTAGCCCCAGTTGGGGGTAGGTACAGAGATAGAGGTGACCTGTTTTTGCCCCCAGGCACTCAGAGCTTAACGGGGCAAGGGCCTCATCCCAGGCCAAGTTTTGGGTTTTCTGCGTCACTTAAAGCAGTGGGTGACTGCATCTCTGTATTACAGATGAGCAAACAGGCTCAGCAAGTTTTAGCTGCTTCCTCATGGGCACACAGCTAGTGAGTGATGAGTGCAGAGCTGCGGGGCTCAATTGTCTGGTATACTTTCCCTCCCCCAGCCTGCCTCCCTCCAAGCCACAGAACATGGCAGGCCTCATGCAGAGCACTGGCCTGCAAACTAGGTGAAAGAAACTTCCTAGGTGAGGCCGGGTGCAGTGGCTCACGCCTGGAATCCCAGCACTTTGGGAGGCTGAGGCAGGTGGATCACTTGAGGTCAGGAGTTTGAAACCAGCCTGGCCAACATGGTGAAACCCTGTCTCTACTAAAAATACAAAAATTAGCTGGGCTTGGAGGTGGGCACCTGTAATCCCAGCTACTTGGGAGGCTAAGACAGGAGAATTGCTTGAACCCAGGAGCGGAGATTGCAGTGAGCTGAGATCATGCCACTGCACCATTGCACTTCAGCCTGGGCAAGAGAGCAAGGCTCCATCTCAAAAAAAAGAAAAAAAAAAGAAACTTCCTATGTGAGACCCCTGTCTACTAGACACAACAGTGAATATAGGGAGAGGGGATTTGAAAGCAGATCATGGCTGATTCCAGAGAAAGCAAGGTTTCCCCTTGTCCCTCCCCATATACACACTGAGGACCCAGGAGCATTGTCCCACCTTCTGCAGCCAGGAGTAACTACCACCTCCCACACTCTAGCCTGGGCAACACATCTGATAGCCCACTTCATCACGAAGCATAAATTAAACAAAATGCCAGAGGGAAACTTGCCACTGCAGGACTGACGCTCAGAGTCCTTTCTGAGTTGGATGACAGCGTAGATGGATCTCTCACCCGCCTCTGGCTCTGAGGACCCAGTGTTCCAGGTGAATGTGAATGTTTGGTTGCTGCAGCTCACACCAACCCTGCCCTTTCGGTTCAGCGAGAATCAGAGGCAGCAGAAACTGTCTCAGACCCCAGGGAACAACTTCTAGAATTAGCGTGGAGTGTCTTTGGCTGTCCTTTTAAACTTATACTTGAAGACTATTTAAACTTCTTAAAAAAGAAAGAACGAAAGAAAGAAAAGTGGCATATCCCACCCCCTAGCCTTCCCCTGCAAAGGCTAGAGAACCTTCAAGACGCAGGTAACACAGCCTCACTCTAATCAAAGCAGACGAGAGCCCTGCTCAAGATTATCCCAGAGGATGGCTTGACAGCACTTCTAAAACAACAGCCATGATTGTTGGCAGCTCTCTCAAAACATAATCAGTTCATATTTGCAAGTTTCATGTAGAAGGCAAAGTGTATCATTACACAGCAATGTATTTCACAAAATATTCACCCCCAGCCAGGTGTGACAGCTCATCCCTGTAATCCTAGTGCTTTGGGAGGGTAAGGTGGGAGGAGTCCCTGAGACCAGGAATTCAAGCCTGGGCAATAGAGTGAGACCTATCTCTAAAAAAAAGTTTTAAAAATTAGCCAGGCATGCTGGTGTGCACCTGTAGTTCCAGCTACTCAGGAGGCTGAAGCAGGAGCATCACTTGAGCCCAGGAATTGGAAGCTGCAATGAGCTACAATTAAGCCACTGCACTCCAGCCTGGGCAACACAGTCAGACCCTATCTGTAAGAATAAACAAAACATTTATCCTGTTGAATGCACAGGCAAATGCTAGCAACTCTTGGGGTACTGTTGCTGAAGTTTTCTGTGACTTTGGGGTGACTAGGAAGACCTGCTGTGAAAATTTCCTGGACCCAACAAAGCCATCCATCCTCAATGATATAAAATTTGGGGCTATCTCTTGAGGAAAACCCTGGAGCTGCCTACAGGCTGCCCTGCACAGAGGGAGGATGGCCAGCAGCCAACCAGGAGACAGGGGCTGGTGATTTCCACTAAGGCTTGCCCACCTTCCCACTGGCCTGAACAGCACCTGCCTTCTAGTCCTCGTCAGCAAAGACAACCCAGAAAGTCCTATTCTGAAACTTTCATCAAAAGCCTGTCAGAGGTGACCTTCATCGAGAACTGTTTCAAGGATATCCCTACCCCTCAAAGTCAGGGGAGAAACATGCCTAGCAAAGGTGATGTCTCAGGCTGGGCATGGTGGCTCACACCGTAATCTCAGCACTTTGGGAGGCCAAGGTGGGTAGATCATCTGAGGCCAGGAGTTTGAGACCAGGCTGGCCAACATGGTGAAACCCCATCTTTACTAAATACAAAGAAATTAGCCAGGCATGCTGGCAGGCACATGTAGTCCCAGCCACTCGGGAGACTGAGGCAGGAGAATAGCTTGAACCCAGGAGGCGGAGTTGCCGTAAGCTGAGATTGCACCACTGCACTCCAGCCTGGGTGACAGAGCAAGACTCCATCTCAAATAATTAATAATAATAAAAGTGGTGTCTTTTCTCAATTGAACACCATGGCAGATATTGTTAGTTGATCACAGAACTCTACCTTGTCGAGCCCAGAGAAGGCTTCAGAATTCTTCTCAAGGAGGCTCCAGGCTGGGCACAGTGGCTCATGCCTGTAATCCCAACACTTTGGGAGGCTGAGACTGGAGGATCACTTAAGGCCATCAGTTTGAGACCAGCCCAGGCAACACAGTCAGACCCCATCTCCATAAAAACTAAAATTAGCCAGCTATGATGGAACACGCCTATAGTCCTAGCTTCTCGGAAGGAAGCCTTAGGTGGGAGGATCAGTTGAGCACCGAGACTTGTGGCTTCAGTGAGCTATGACCGCACCGCTGCACTTCAGCCTGGGTGACAGAGCAAGACCCTGTCTCTAAAAACAAAAACAAAAAACAAAACCTCAGAAGACTCCAGACCTACTCATCAGAATAGCTCATGAGATGAAACCAGTTTTCCAACTTTGCTTTGTAGAGATCCTGGTTCTAGAACTGAATGGAGCTTGGTGAATAATTAGGAAACTACACACTCAGGTTCCGTGCAGAACTGCGTTTTCTGGGCTCAGACACGAGGTCATGCTGTTGGCCTTCATCATAATAAAGCTGCCTGAAGCAGCCTAGATCCTGAATTAAGCCTCCCTGGAGCTGTTTTGCAGAGTAACTGCCTCGTCCTTCTAGATCCATGTTCAAGGAGCTACACACAATAAATTTAAGAGTGAAGGGTTAGGAAAAAGCTTTGATTCCCTCAACATCTGGCTATGTTTTATTAGCTTTTCAACGACAAAGAGACATGCACCTGATAGGCCTTCTCTTTTCACCTTACCCAGCAGGAAAGTCGGAGCTGAGTTTTCTTTCGCAACCACTTTAGCACCCGTACGTCGTCTGCCCCCCCATTCCTCTCCATCTTGAGCCCCATCTCTAACTTGTTTTTCATGGTCCTGGCTTTTCAGTGAATTTGCCAGCTCACCACATGTGTTTCTGTTGTGATCTGCCTCAAACCTTCTAGGGACTGAGGTCAGGGTAAAAGTAGTTTAAAAACCAGACAACACATGGATGGTGAAGGCTGTGGCCCTGGGAGGACCCTTCTGGGTCTTCTCTTCCTTCCGGTGGTGGTAGCCTGGTAGTCTTGCCCACTGCCCCAGTTTATTCACTGGGGATGCAGTCCAGTTGGAAATGGGGCTCTGGCTCAGGGGCAGGGAAGGGGACCTAGGGAGAAAGAGGTTTCCCAACCAGACCTGTCACAGTAAGCAGCCAGGGACAGGGAGCCTCCTGTCTTTCTCAGGCGGGGTTGAGGGCTGCCATTCCAGACATGAGAATTTCCTCTCCCAGAGGCCTTACTCCTCACCACCCTCCAGGACAAGGATTATTATTAACTCAGCTCCTGGAGAGGGAACTGCAGAATCTGTGATGCTAGAAACACAGGACAGGTCCCCTGGGGGAGGGGGACAGTATTGGTCTTGAGCCCCGAGAATGGTAGCCCCAATTTTTCCCAGGTCCTCCTTCTTGGGGCTTGCCTATAGTAAGGGTCCCAGAGCACTGCCCACAGCTGCACCAATGTCACCTCTCTAGCTCTGGAGTCCTACCTCTATTAATACAGCCAAAAGCTGCACTCAGTGTTGGATCACAGGGAATTAAGGGTCAAAAAGCTCCAGGTCATTTCCAGATGGTTATCAGAGGGCTGGCAGGCATCACTAAGCCCCTTCCCTCCTTCTCCCCACCACCACCACTCACCTCGAGCACATTCTTCTTACTGGATTTGTCTTTGGGGGCCCAGGAGAGAGAGGCCCCCCTCAGCTCCACTGTGTACTCAGGGGTGGAAAACTTGGAAGGCTGCCTCTGTGGGAGGAGAAGGAAGGTCACAGGCAGCCCTTAGCTCAGATGTGTCTGCTGTGGCACTCTGGCTCTAGGAATAGGATAGGGTCACTGGCATGGCCAGGAAACAACTCTGGGGGAAAGAGCCCCAAGGGTTCCTGGGCCCAGAGACCCTGATGCTTCTTAACCACAGAGCCTGCTGGCTGGCATGTCCACTGCTGCTCGCCCTCCCAGGGAGGACAGGAAAAGAGCACAGCCTGCATCCCCACAAGCAGGTGCATCCGCCCCCAGCCTCTCTGCCCTCCAGGCTGGAGCTGGCCACCCTCAAGACTGTTCCCCATCTCCCAGGGGCTGAATCTGCTTGTCTTGGAGTGAATCTGCCAGCATCACCCCTTCTCTGCCAAGGCCCAGCTCCTCTAACTCATGGACCACTCTCTCAGACCTGGTCATCTCCTAGCCAGATTAAATAGAGCAGATAGGGGCTGGGCACAGTGGTTTATGCCTGTAATCCCAGCCCTTTGGGAGGCCAAGGTGGGTGGATCACCTGAGGTCAGGAGTCCAGGACCAGCCTGGCCAACATAGTGAAATCTTGTCTCCACTAAAAATACAAATACTAGCCAGGCATGGTGGCACATCCCTGTAGTCCCAGCTACTCGAGAAGCTAAGGAAGGAGAACTCAGGAGGCAGAGGTTGCAGTGAGCTGAGATCACACCACTGCATTCCAGCCTGGGTGACAGAGTGAGACTCCATCTCAACAAAAAAAAAAAAAAAAAGAGAGAGAGAAAACAGGATGGTCCCTGCCCTGGGGACCTGGCCTCACCAGGCCGCCTGCAGCCGAGGTCTTTGAGTCCTTGAAGAATGTCAGGACGCCACCCTCCAGCACCGTCCAGGAGGCACTCCAGTGCTTCTTCCTAGGTGGGGGTGGGGAAGTGGGGGTGGCAGGACTTAGATTTGATCCTGGGCTGAGGGCCTCCTCCCACCCCAGGAACAAGCCAGAGCTTAGGAACACAGGCTGGGCACCCCACTATGAGGGCCGGAATCCTGACTCTAACACCTAGCAGCCATGGGACCTCGAACAAGTTGCTTTATCTTGCAGTGCCTCAGTGTCCACAGAGGACCACTCACAAAGTTGATGTGAGGATTAATAAGAGCCTGGCATACAGGAAGTACTCAGTGAACATCATCGCCAGGGCCCACCCTGCCCCAGCCTGGGTGTAGACAGGCTCTCACCGGAGCCGCTTTCCTTTGTCTGCCGTCTTGGTGCGATGGAGCACCCCTGCCTTGTCCAAGGTCTTGGTCTAAGAGAGAGAAGGGGTTAATTAAGGAGTGAGCTATGGGGAGCAGACGCTGGTGTCCTGCTCAGCTGTCACTTTTTATGGTCTGGGCCTGTCTCCACTGAACTCTCCTCGTCAGCCCCACCACCTGGCTGGGGGTGGGGGGTGGGGGCGGTGATGCCTACCCTCACAGCAGCTGTGGCAGGAGAGATTTCCTCCCAGTTCCCAACCTCATCCAACTCTGCTGGGACCTATGAGGGAGACAGATATATTCCACCCAGTTCCTCCTCCCAGGACCTCCAGAAGCCCCCAACTGATTCTGAGGTGGTCCTGCCAGGACCTGAATGCCTCCTCCCCTACCTTCTCCTCTGGAGGGCTGGCCTGGGCTGGGGTATCACTGTCCTGGTTAGATTTATGGATGCTTCGAGGGGCAGGGACAGGGACCTGGGGAGAAAGACACAATCATATGTGATCCCTTCCTCTCTCCCCAGCACCCGCCTTTCCCCAGGTTGTTACCTGGGGCAGCTCCCATCGAACGGAGGAGTCCTCTGGGTTGTAGAAGTATGGCTTCCCATGGGGGTCCTCCAGCCTCACCCACTGTGGGGAGAGGAACTATCAGGGCTCCCAGCCTGGCTCATGAGAGGGAAGGAAAAGGTTCCCTCTAACCAGGTTCCAAGACAGCACCAGGGAATCTGGAGGCGGAAGTGCAGGCGACTGCATTTGGCTGGTTTGCGCTGCAGTTTAGAGCACTAAGGCGAGCTATTAGTGAGGAAGGACTCCGAGTTTAGAGCAGTTTAGAGCACTAAGGCGAGCTATTAGTGAGGAAGGACTCCGAGTTTAGAGCAGTTTAGAGCACTAAGGCGAGCTACTAGTGAGGACTCCTACCTGCTCCTGGGTGAAGTGGTTGGTGTAGACCGTCTGCTTGTCCTGGCTGACGTGACATGACCAGCCGGGGGGTGTGGACAAGGGAGAAGTGGGGCCGGGCTCACTGAAGGAGCCCACGGGAGAATAGTCCTCCTCAGGGTAACTGGTCAGCGACTCGGGGTAGTCAGTCTCGGGGGTGGGGGGCTGCGGGGAGCAGAAGATGGAGTCAGAGGCTCTGAGTGTCAATACTGCCTGCTGGCCCTGCCCTTTTGGACCAGACACACCCCCTTGCCCTCTAGTCCCTGAGGCTGTGGGAGCAGGAGGCAGGGTCAGAGGCAGAGGTAGCCCCGCCCACCCAGGCCCCGCCCCTTATTCTCTGCTCCCTGGGTCTGCGGGAGCAAGAGACGAGGTCACAGGTATTCAGACGTAGCCCCGCCCACCAAGTCCCGCCCCTCACCAGTGTGTCCCGGGGCCTCTGGGAGCAGGAGGCGGGGTCAGAGGCGGTCAGAGGGCAGCCCCGCCCACTCCAGCCCCGCCCCTCACCCGTGGGTTCCCAGGGCTGCCAGGGCTCAGGCCCGGCTGCATCTCCAGCTCCTCCTCGGGCTCGTCTTCGGCCTCGTCTTCCCAGGCCGTCTCGCCCGTCAGCGGGTTGTAGAAGAACACCCTGCGGCTCTCCTCATCCCAGTACTGGCCCCACTCGGTCTCGAAGCTCACGTGGCTGCCCACTGAGGCAGGGGAGGTGGCCGGGCTGGCAGCGCCCTCGGCAGCCTCAAAGGGCGACTCCCAGGTGGTAACGCCTGTGTCCGGGTTGTAGTAGTAAGGGCGCCCGGTGCCCGCGTCCGTGTGCGTCTCCCACACCGGGCTGGGAAGAGGGGCCGCTGAGGCGCCCGGCGAAGTGGCCCGGGGCTGCCTTTCTATGTTCGCGTACACGGGCTCCGGGGGGTCGTCCACCTGCGGGAGGAGAAAGCCTTTGTGTTTTCAGAAGCCTTCCAAAATGCTCACAGAGGTCCCATCTGGGCAGTGCGATTATAGGGGTTTATTTGTTTTTGTTTTGTTTTGTTTTATTTAAGCTTTCCTGCAGCCTCAAAATTTTGTACAATAAAGCTTTTTAAAAATCAGAAGTTCCAAAAGAAAAAACAAAAGACGTTAAAAAAAAAAATCAGAAGTTCCTCTGCTGACTATGACACCGTCATTAAGCTGTAAACTCCTTGAAAGGGGAAGCACCTGTTCAAAGTGGCCTCTCACTGAACGTTAGCCCCTTGGGTGACCTTCAGAAAGTCACACTACTTCTCTGCCTCAGTTTCCTGGGTGTGAAATGTCTACTCTGCCCATTTCAGAAATTGTAATGAAGAGTAAATGAGGAAATGTTATTGAAAGTGCTTCGTAACGTATTTAGTGCCCCAGATGGGTGGGTCAATTCCATTAATTAAATTTATCAACAATAATAAAACATCGATAACCTGGTTCTCACAGAGGCAAGTCAGAGGTTGGGTAGGAACTGAGAAGTTGCCTGGGGTGTGCCCATTAATGGTGCCCATTCAAGGCCATGCTGCATTCTTCCAGCCCCACTGAGAGCTCCCACCCCACCTCCCTGCCAGCCCAGAAAGCTCTGGCAACTTTCCAAGGTGAACTTTGCAGGTGTCAGATTCAATTCCAGACAAGAGAGGGAGAGAGGACAGCCAGATGGGCTGGAGAACGGAGGGGCAAAGAGATGTGAATCGTTTTCCCCCACCCCAAAGGAGAGCGAGGGCAGCTGGGGGTTCCATCACATAGAATATAAACCTGGCCATGCTTAAGTCTCCCAGAACAGAGGCTCTCCTGATTCACACCTCAGAGCTCCCTGCTAGTTGCAGGGCAAAGTCTAAGTAAGCCCTTAACCAGACACAAGAGACAGTCCCTCACTGGCCCGCACTTCCACTATTATTTCCTGCCACTCCTTGCCCCTTGCCTTGAACTTTAAGCTCCAGTAGCACCACTGTGTACTCGGGGGTGATCCCCACCCTCCCTGCTGCATTTCCTCAGGCAGAGGCTCATCTGCGGCCTGCCCAGGCCTGCCTGCCTCCACCCCTTTTTTGCCTGGTCGACTCTGATTCCTTCTTCAGGACTCAGTTCAGGTGCCAGGTTCCAGCCTTTTCCCAAGATTCCCCTTGTCCCTGTGCCTCACATTCAGCCCAGTACCCCTAGCCCTGCAGAGGGACAGATGACTACATTCTCAGACCCCAGGCAGCAGCATGGCATTTAGGGATTACTACTATTTTCTAAGCATACACAACGCTTCAAGGGGAAAGCGGATTTCCAAATTTTAATTTTGTATTTTTGGAAACCTTCCAGAATGCTACCAAAGGTCCCCTCTGAGCACTGTGATGATAGGGGTTTATTTGTTTTTGTTTTGTTTTCTTTGAACTTTTCTGCAGCCTTAACATTTTCTACTACAAAACTCTAAAAAATCACAGAAGTTCCTCTGCTGACTGTGACACCGTCACTAAGCCGTAAACTCCTAGAAAGAGGAAGCACCTGCTCAAGGTGGCCTCTCCCTGAGCCTTAGTCAGATGCCTGAACAAACAAAACAAAAAAACACATTCATTTTTCATCAAACTGATGCTAAAAAAGCAAAGCAAACCAAACCAACAAAAAGAAGGAAAGAAGAACATTCATGCACCCAACACAGATTCATCACCTGCTCTGTGCCAGGCATGGTTGGAGGCACAGGGAATACAGCAGTGAACAAAGGGACACTAATCCCTACCCCGCCGGGCTGGCGCTCAAGTGCACCTGCGTGTCAGTGTCGGCGATGACAACATGGACAGCATGTCAGTGCTGGTCACTGCTAAGCAAGAAATGAAAACACTGTCAAAGAAGAGAATGGTACAGTTTTAGACAGGGTGATGATCCCCAGGTGCCTGGGGGCTGAGAGAGCTGGGGATGGAAGTCCATCAGTTCTTTGCTGCTCTCCACTTCCTCCAGGCTCCTGTGCGGCTGAGAGGGGACCCTCCACCCTTCTCCTTTTGTAGAGGTCACCACAGCCCTCATGTGGCAACCTGTAGTCCAAGCACAGCAGGCCTCTCACCAGCCCTCAACACAAAAGGCATCCTCCCACCTCCATGCCTGTGCTCCAGCTGTTCCCTCAGCCTGGAATTCCCTCCTCTGGTTCTCTGCCTACCCAAACCCTGCTCTCCCGTGGTGCTCAGCTGAGAAGCCTCTCCAGGGAGAGGTCAAACCTGCTGGCTCTCTGCTCACTGCTCTGTTAGGGCCCAATGGCGTTCTGCTGTGGTGGGCAGCCAGTTGTCCAGCCATCTGCCCACCTTCTGTGCCCCAAAAGGCAGGATTTTCTTGAGAGCAAGACTAAGGATAATGTAGTTGATTCCATTTGCCCCCCAGCAGCTGGGCCGACACCCTGAAGCACACAGCAGGTCTGCTACAAACACTTACTGCTTGAGTACACAAGTCTAACCCATGCCAAACCTCAGCAACAAACACGCCTGATGCTACAGGAGAGCCTGGAATGAGCTGGAACTTTCTGAAGAGAAGGGCTGAAACCAGGAAATTCCTGGGGAGGGCCGGATGGAAGCAGGGGCAAGAGGAAGGCAGAGGAACTGGACACACCTCCCATCCTCCCAGCTGAACCCACTGGGGCAGGGTTGAAAGGCCCCACCAGGGGTGGAAGAGCGGATGAAGGAGCAGGAATTCCTCCTTGGGGCAGGAATTTCTACTTGGCAGGCTGCGGGCCATGGCTCTGAGTCCATGAGGAGTCCCAGGCCAGTGAGGCTCAGGGGGTCCCCACACAAAGGAATATCCCCAGCAGGGACAGAGGAGATTTGGGAGGTAGAAGTTTAGGTCCCCAGCATGACAGAGCTGTCACAAGGAAGAGAAGATGTGGCATCACGCTTCAGGGGCAGAGCAGTGCTCCTCTGAAGGAAGCATTCTGGGGACTGGGGCCCCCAGACACACAGGCTGCCTTTGGAGGTAGAGGGGCCCTCACTGGAGGTGACTGAGCAGAGTCCACTCCTGGTTAGGGAAGCGACAGCGCTGTGGTGGGCGTCGAACTGCAGCATCCTTCAGGTCCCTTCAAACTCTAGAGCTCTCCACAGAGCCCCGCATCGCTGAGCTAGAGACACATTCCTCTCCCTGCAGGGCCTCAGCTGGGTTCTCACCAGCTCCTGGGGCAGGGGTGGTCACGCTCTCCACATCTGCTGGCCTTCAAGGACTTACAGCAGCGCCTGCCACCCCTACCCTCCTCCTTGCTCCTGCTCATGGGGGCCCAGACAAGACCCAGAGGCAGCTCATAAGCAGGGCCTGATTATGGAACCAATGGCTCGAGTTGTATCCTAGAGACAAGAAGTGGCCTTCCCACCGCAGGCCAGAGGAGGAGCCAAGAGGCCCTGGCTCTCAGGCCCCAGCTGCCCAGCACCCTGGCACTTCCTTGCAGAGGTTCACCCCTTGTCTCCAATTCCCTCCCTGTCTACAAGCAGGTGGCAGCCCTGCCGCTCTTGCCACTTCTTGGACTGGCAGGGCCTCTGAGAAGGAAAGAGAAAAGGAAGGATGAACCCCAACTTCCAAGAGGCTCACTGCTCTGAGCCCCAGCTCACCCAGCTCCTAACAGGGCTTGGGGTGGAGGCTCACCCGGCACCCCTTGACCCCAGCATCCCCTACCTGTGCCCGCAAGGCTTGACTCTGCCTCCTGGTCACTTTGGCGATCATGTCCACCATCCTGGCCCCTCTGAGTCAGGACAGAGCCCTGGGAAGGTTTTGGGGGTGGAGCCCAGGGGCACTACCCCAGTGCTGGCACAGGGCAAGAGGGAAACAAGAAGTTGCCTTGAGATGGCGGGAGGCTGAGACTCCAGCCCATTTCCTGTCAGGGCAGCGGAAGTGCTGCCTGAGTCAGGGGGGTGGGGTGGAGGGGCCTCAGGTTGGGGGTATTTTTATGCTTCTAGAAACACCGCTGGCTGCCCCACTCAGTGCTCTAATGACCTGTGAGTTGCATCCCAGGCCCAGACACAGCCATGGCGTGGGCTGCACAGGGGAAGATTACCCCCCAGATGCAGCCGTAGTGCGGGATTCACAGAGAGAATCAAGCTGGGCCTGTGGGGGACGGGCGCACCAAACAGGCAGGGCGGACAGAGGGAGCGCTGAGCGCTGGGGGCCTGGCTGGCCTGGAGTAGCTCCTGGGGCGGAAACAGGACAATGAGTGGTAGTCTACTCCCTCCAGGCCCAGGGAGGACGTGATGGGAAAGAGGAAGCTCGTGGGGGGGAGGGGAAGGCTTCCCAAAGAGGAAGGGGTCTGGGCCGATGTGATATCAGAAGGAGCTGGTGTCTGGGCTGTGCCAGCCCCAAGGAGGACAGGAAGGATTCTGACCACCCCACAATCTGGCCGCCTGACCACCTGGGTCTGTCTCCTTCAGACTTGGTCACCAAGATGCATGTACCTTCCCATGCCTGCGTGCCCACATCCACCCACTCCCACCTGCGTGTCCACATACGTGTACAAGTGTGCCCGTGCCTGTCCCCTGGTCTCCAAGGACCCAGAGAAGAGGGCCAGGCATCATCTTCTTCCAGGAGGAAGGTTAGATCTTCCTCCTGGCCTCTCTTCCCTTCACCCCCTCATGTGGGGGTGTCAGACCCCAGCCACGCACATTGTACGCAGCCCTGAGTGAGAAGCTCCAGCACCTCCTCTGAGCCCAGGGTCCCATCTCGTCTTCTCTCCTCCCTTAGAATTGCTTCATCCCCAGAATTAAGAGCCAGACAACACCAAGCCCACCAGCCCACCCCTGCCGAAGCCCACCTCCCTTCCAGGTCAGGCTCTGACTCCCCCCTCCCACCCTATGCCCATTCTTCCTCCTCTGGCCCCCACCCTGGCTCTCTTTTCTCCCCTGCCATGTCCCTCAGCCCCTCCTCTCCTGTACCTACTGTGGGCTGGGGACAAGGACCCCATGCAGAGACAGGGACGGTGTGAATGTGGGGCACGAGACACTTGGAGAGATCACACTGGGAGCAAGACTGGGCCCCATGCCCTGCTCTGCCCACTGAGCTCTCCTACCACTGCCCTATCCCCTGGGCCTGACTCAGAAGACCAGACCCCAGGGGTGGGCTAATCCCCTCCTCCCTGCCAAGGTGGAGGGCAGCGGGAATCACGGAAGCCCGGAGGCCGCATGCTCATCACACGCCTGACCCATTTTACTGTCCCCATCCTGAGGCAGGGATGCGAACACACACACACACACACACACACACACACACACACACACACACTCACACCACACACATGCAGTTGCCTATGACAGGTCACCAAGGGATATGCAACCAGGCCCCAGAGACAGGAAGAGCCTGTAAATTCCAGAGAGGCCAGAAACTCTGAGCCACCAGGGAGAAGCTGGGTGGGGATCGGAGAGAGGAGGACAGGTGTGGAATCCAGGTCCTCAGCACTGCCCTGAAGGTAGAGCAGGAGGGAGGGCAGGGACTCCCTGTGGGAGGGGCCAGGAGTGTCAGTGTCAGGGCTGGGACTGCAGAACGTGCAGCCAGCAGCTTGCCTGGCATCTCACCTGCTTCTCTTACCCAGTAGGAAGCTGGGCCCCCATGATGGGGATGTCCCGGGAGGATCCCGCCCCAAACTATAGGGACTGAGGAAACCCACACAGTTCCTGCCTGTTCTTGGTTGGCTCTCAGGCTCTGTTTGGGCTTTCCTTCCCCCAGCAAGAGGAGGTGATGACCACAGTGGCTCCCCTGTGGGGTCTACCTCCCTCCACCACATGCTCACACCTCTGAGAGGCACAGGGGGAGGGTGAGGAGAGGTTCTAGAACAAACCAGCTGCACAGCACCCATCCTCTCCCTGCCTGACCTTGCTCTTCCCTCCCAAACCCTCATAGGAAATGCTGGAGCAGGAGCAGGTGCACTAGGAAGACCCAGTCCTCTGAGGCTAGAGGCAAGGTAAACACCTCTAAAGCAGGACTTAGCTCAGGAACTGGCTCGGGGGCTGGTAAGGGGACATGGTGTCCTTTGTTGACTCAGTGAGTCTGCTCTGTGCCACCCAGGCCAGGTGGAGGGAGAGCCGGAAGGAATGGTGATCTTCACCTCACGGAGCTCAACCGTGTCCACACGACAGGTCCCTCCCCTGATCACATGGTCTCCAGGTCAGACACTGGGTCTCCCTTTACCCATCCTGGCCCGGCCCAGAGTTGCACATCCAGGGGCAGTATCAAGGGAGCTGGGGGTGACCCGCAGGATCCTGGACCTTGGGCCTCAGTAGCTTTTGGGGAACTGTATGTAGCTCAGCCCTCTGAGATTCTGATGGAAGTGGTTTGGGCTGGGGCCTGGGCAAAGCTTTTAATTTTAAGACTCCTCGGGTGATTTGACTGTGCCGCTGGTGAGGCGCTATGGCTCAGTATAATCTTTCCTTTTTTTTTTTATTGATATGGAGTCTTACTCTGTCACCCAGACTGGAGTGCAGTGGCTCGATCTCAGCTCACTGCGATCTCTGCCTCCCAGGTTCAAGTGATTCTCCTGCCTCAGCCTCCTGAGTAGCTGGGATTACAGGTGTCTACCACCATGCCCAGCTAATTTTTGTATTTTTAGTAGAGATGGGGTTTCATCATGTTGGCCAGGCTGGTCTGGAACTTCTGACCTCAAGCAATCTGCCCACCTCGGTCTCCTAAAGTGCTGGGATTAGAGGCGTGAGCAGCCTGGCTGGCTCAACGTCATCTTATTGCATGAATGCGGGGTGAGATTCCAAACGTAACGGTTTCAGGTGAGACTCTTTTCTTGGGCATGGGGCAGAAGCTTCCATTGATTCAAAGGGAAAAAGAGTGTAGAGCCGGAGTCCAGAACTCGAGCTCTTGTCTAGATTCTACTTCAGCTTCTTGCTGAGCAGCCGCTTGAATTTCTGGGCCTCAGTTTCCTCATCTGTAGAACAGAGCTGTCAACCCTGCCCCATCACAGGGCTGGCTCTGTGAAAGAGCCGAGCCGACCACGGGGTCCCACCCCGTGGGGCTGGGGGAAAGCAGGCCTGCACTTCTGCTTTTCTGACTTTGGGTTTTGATTGAGTGCCCTCGGCTCTGGACTCAGTCCCCAAACTCTGGGTGACCTCATGGGGCTGCCTGCCTGGCCTGCTCCTCCAGGGCGGGGTGGGAGCTGGGGTGGGGCCTCCCCAGGGCTCACATGGCCTGTGCTCTAAGTAAGGCTGGCAGAGACCTAGCAGGGCCGCTGGTGCCAGGAGGGATCAGAAATGGTCCATGAGGTGCCAGGTTCGGTGGCTCACGCCTGGAATCCCAGCACTGCGGGAGGCTGAGGCAGGCGGATCACCTGAGGTCAGAAGTTTGAGACCAGCCTGGCCAACATGGAGAAACCCTGTCTCTACTAAAAATACAAAAATTGGCTGGGCGTGGTGGCATCTGCCGGTAATCTCAGGTACTTGGGAGGCTGAGGCAGGAGAATCACTTGAAGCTGGGAGGTGGAGGTTGCAGTGAGCCAAGGTCAAGCCATTGCACTCCAATCTGGATGACAGAACAAGACTCTGTCAAGAAAAGAAAGAAAGAGAGAGAGAGAGGAAGGAAGGAAGGAAGGAAGGAAGGAAGGAAGGAAGGAAGGAAAGAAAGGGAGGGAAAATGAGACCAAGGAGTGGTCACCTTCTGCCCACTCCCTCAAACATATCTGTGTTTGCATCCACCATTCCTTCGCCCTCCCCCAGTGGAAGGCACAGGGGCCTGCCGGCCAGGCCAGCCTCCCCAGCCCAGACCTGAAGGACCCACATAGCCTCCCCCTTGCTCGGAAGTGGTCTCACCTCAAATCTCCAACCCTTCCCTTCTGACTACCTTTGTCCCTTTCTCATTTCAACAAACTCAAGTCCTCTGCATCTTTTTTTTTTTTTTTTCTTTAAGACAGGGTCTTGCTCTGTCACCAGGCTGGAGGGCACTGGCACAATCACGATTCACTGCAGCTTTGACTTCTTGGGCTCAAGCAATCCTTCCACCTCAGCCTCCCAAGTAGCTGGCACTACAGGCCTACACCACCATGCCCGGATAAGTTTTTATTTTAATTTTTTAGAGACAGGGTCTCACTATGTTGTCCAGGGTGGTCTTGAACTCCTGGGCTCAAAAAATCCTCCCACCTCAGCCTCCCAAAGTGCTGGGATTACAGGCGTGAGCCACCGTGCCTGGCCAACATTTTCTTTTTAACATGTAGAAATCAACTGGGTGCAGTGGCTCACACCTGTAATCCCAGCACTTTGGGAGGCTGAGGCAGATGGATCGCTTGAGATCAGGAGCTCGAGACCAGCCTATGCAACATGGTAAAACCCCATTCTACTAAAATTAAAAAAAAAAAAAAAAAAAAAAAAAAAAAAATTAGCTGGGTGTGGTGGTGGGCACCTGTAGTCCCAGCTGTTTGGGAGGCTGAGGCAGGAGAACTGCTTGAACCCCAGAGGCAAAGGTTGCAGCAAGCAAGATCACACCATTGTTCTCCAGCCTGGGCTACACAGAGAGACTCTGTCTCATAAAAAAAAAAAAAAAAAAGTTTGTTCTGAGGACCCAGCTCTGCATTCCCTTTTTACAACTGATTTCTTTTTCTCTTCCTCCTTTTCGAGCCAACTTCTCTGTCCCCTCACTTAGCCAACCAGCCCACCGCTCAGAGGCCTTCCACCACTTCCTTGATGACAGATCTGGTCCTCCCTGGCCTGACTTCTCTCCAGTGTTTCCTCGTTAAAATCCTCTCCTTCTTGGGCTTCCTCGGGCCAGGCCTCCTGGTTTTCCTTTTCCTTCTCTGCTACTGCTCAGCAGTCGGGCCCCAGGCTCCATCTCCTCTGCCACAGCCTCAAGCTGGGCATTTCACCTGGGTTCCCACTCCACCTCACTGGGAGAGCCCTGCTGGCTGTAGATCAGCACTCACAGCACGGTCTCCAGGCTCATGTCTCCCTGCCATCAGGATGTGCTTTGTACATGTCGAAAGCTGTGTCCCAAATCAAATCTGTCCTCTCCCTCCTTCTTCCCCTGTCTCAGCATCTGAGTGACGTCTACCTCTGTCACTCAAAGTAAAATCATTCTTGCCTCCTGCTTGCTTTGCCTCACCTGTCGCTGAGCCCCATTGATCCGATCAGCCCAAGCCTTGCAGACCTGCCTACCCGGGTTAGAGGAACACGGAAATGGCGGCAAGGAAGCAAACAGACACCTGGCAGGCAGGGCAACAAGTCAGGGTCGAGGCAGAAGTAAAGGGTGGGGCTCTTCAAGAGAGATTTAAGAGACAGCTGGATGTAAGCCATGGCCTTGGACGGGCTCCTGAACCAAATGAATCAGCTGCGAGAGAGATGTTTAGGATAAAGCGGACATCCAATGATGGCTTAGCTTACATTAAGGAATTATTGTTATTTTTGCCAGGTATAACCATGGTAGAGTGTTTATGGAGAAAGACATCACTTTTCAGACATGCATGCTGAAGTTTTCAGGGGTGAAATATGATGCCTAGAATTTATAATTCATCAGCAATAAATAAATAAAAAATAAATAAAAACAAACATGGCAAATATTTTTTTTTTCTCTTGTCTTCTTCCTTTTTAAAAACTAGTAGAGTAGCTAGAAGGGAGCACATATTGTTAAATATAGGCAGTAGGTAATTGTATTCATTTAAAACATATTCTTTTTGGCTGGGCACAGTGGCTTATGCCTGTAATCCCAGGACTTAGGGAGGCTGAGGCGGGAGGATCACCTGAGGTCAGGCATTGGAGACCAGCCTGGCCAACATGGTGAAAGCCCTCCTCTACTAAAAATACAAAAATTAGTGGGGCATGGTGGCGTATGCCTGTAATCCCAGCTACTCGGGAGGCTGAAGCAGGAGAATCACTTGAACCTGGGAGGCGAAAGTTGCAGTAAGATGAGATCACGCCATTGCACTCCAGCCTGGGTGACAGAGCAAGACTTGGTCTCAAAAAAAAAAATTCTTTTTGGCTGAGCATGTTGGCTCACAACTGTAATCTCAGCAGAGCACTTGAGATCGGGAGTTCAAGACCAGCCTGGCCAACATGGTGAAACTGTGTCTCGACTTAAAATACAAAAATTAGCCAGGCCTGGTAGCACGCGCCTGTCCTACCTGTTTGGCCCTCCTCAGCTCTTGGGGCAAGGGTGCAAGAGCCATCCTGCCTTCTCCCGGGTTCCCATGATGGGGCAGCCTGCCCCAGGTTTTCCCTGGGAGCCCCCATC